GACAGATTATGTGCCGCTTTATACAGTTTGCAGGGCGAGCGAGCTGAGGGTGAGTGGTCAGAGTACGCCGGTTGGTGACACTTCCAAGTCTACTCGCACTCATTGCCAGCTTCGGGTATTTCGTTGGAGGCGGTCGGACCTGGAGTTGTAAAAATCAAACATGTTTGATGTTTAGGCTTCAACTCGATCTGGAGCAGTAAAATCATCGTGGTTACTCCACACACTTGAGGATTCTTTGGATAAAATAAAATGGATATGACAAGTCTAGAAATGGAGAACCCCCTCATCCCACCCCCCCCCATACCTCAGGCCTAAAATCATGTAGTGTCCGGCCAGTTTAAGTTGCTCCAAAAAAGTTGCCTCTGTTGGTCACTGCTGCCTCACAAGCGACATATAGAAGACAGACGTTGAAATAATTTAAAGCAGAAAAATTACTTTTATTTGAAGATTTTGTAAATGTTGCACGTTTGAGATGCTCATATATATGTTTATAAAGTCAGGTGATTGATTTGTGTTTGAAATGATCAGCTGATTGTTGTTTTGGTTTGCGGCATGTTAAAGATCATACATTGTGTTTGAGATCCTGCAGTGAGTACATGCTGCTGCTGCTCAGCTCGCAGTCTGAACACAGCTGTTTGATTGGCAGTTATAGCCCCGGGAAAACCCCAGGAGACACACACACGCACACACACACACACACGCACACACACACACACACACACACACACACACACACACACACACAAATAAACACACATGCAAGTAGACAAATACACACAGAGAAGCAGTACGGACACATGCAAACATCCAGGCGAGTGAGGAACATTTTCACAGCTGCAAGTAAACACACAGTCTTGCCAGAAAACGCACACACACACACACACACATACACACACACACACACACACAAACACACACACACACAAGCGCACACACATACATGAATACATACGATGATCATTCACACACACATAGACACACCTCGAGGGAGAAGTGCTTGAGAGGGTTTCCAGGGATTCTGTGTAAATTGGCCTCGACATGTAAACAAAAAGCCCCAAAATGACTTTAGTCTGCACACACACACCCACACACACATCTACACACCAACGTGTGTGTGTGTATGTGTGTGTGTGTGTGTCAGGGGAGGTTCTACGAATTCATCAAACCCTGCAGATTCCCATTGATTTTTGTGTCCATTAGCACAGGACTGTCTTTAATGCTGCTCAGATCTTCACTTTGTCCTGCTCTGATTTTCATCCTGGTGTTATCAGCATACAGAGAGGGATCTGTTTGCAGTGAAGAAGGATGTCCAATCTGTCAATAGCATCATGCCGTCCCCACCAACAATCCCGAGGAACCTACGAGACATGAGAGCTCAGGAGCTCCCTGGTTAGGAACTCAGATTTACAGATAGTGACTTGCAGAAATATGATGTGAATGCACAGAGAGAGAGAGAGGAGGGAAGAGAGAGAGAGGAGGGAAGAGAGAGAGAGAGAGAGAGAGAGAGAGAGAGAGAGAGAGAGAGAGAGAGAGAGAGAGAGAGAGAGAGAGAGAGAGAGGAGGAGAGAGATAGGAGCTCAAGGTGCCACTTACCCTGGTAGTCGAAGCCTATAGCAGCATAACTAGCCCTGTCAATGACGGACGTGTTTCAGCGCTAAGCCATAAAGGATCTGAACTTATTTTTCATTTCATGGAGGCTGTGAAAAAACTCAAGTTTGGTGGAAAATATCTTGGGTGGTGAGGACATCAGGTTTTTCAGTGATAGTTTACATTCTGGTCTGGTCAATAACGTCCTCAACAGGTGGGTTTAAGGTGGTATTTTGTTTATCCCAGGAGCAACCTTTGACAAAGAACGTGTTCAGGATCAGCACCACGGACAGCGCTTATCTGGCCCCTTAAGCGTGTTCAACTTGTAGCTGTAGCTCAGAGAAATATCAACACTTTTACTGTTGTTTTGATCCAGTTTACAGTTCAGAAGACACAACAACGAGTAATACACACACACACACACACACACACACACACACACACACACACAAACAGATGGAGCCACGAGTCTGCTTTGAAGAGAAATAATTTCTGACAGAAATCCTTGAAGATCCTTCAGACTGGGAAGCGACCCAACTCATCATCCTGTGTGTGTGTGTGTGTGTGTGTGTGTGTGTGTGTGTGTGTGTGTGTGTCACTGTGTGTGTGTGTGTGTGTGTGTGTGTGTGTGTGTGTGTGTGTGTGTGTGTGTGTGTGTGTGTGTGTGTGTGTGTATGTGTGTGTATGTGAGAGAGTGTCTTTTTGTGTATTTGTGTGTGTTTTAACAGACACTGTGTTCCAGTCCTGTGTCCTGAAGGCGTCCAAGAGAAATTGCTTCAATGTGTTTCTTCATGTGTGTGTGTGTGTGAGAGAGAGAGACAGAGAGAGAAAAGGAAAGTGGGAGTGTGTGTGTCATTATGGTTTCAGTCAGCTGTTGGGTATGAAAATGACAATTACAACCATAACACTGCGTTTGCTGGCTTGCTGCAGAGTTGTGAAATGAGTGACTGAATTAAAACCGAGACGAGACCGAGTAAAAATGCTTTCAATTCTGGGACGAGACCGAGACCTTCAAAAAGTTATCCCGAGACCGGTCTTGAGAGCAAGACCGATTTCGAGTACTACAACACTAGGCCAGCGACGTGTCGGTAATAACCAAGCGGCAACCTCCAGGGTTGAAAAATGACGCCAATGAGGAAGTGTATTCTATCAAGCCTATAAACCCCTCTATTTCAACCCTGCTCAGAACAGGCTGTTTCTGTGTCTGTACCTTTAAATGTAAATGAGCTGTGTCTGGCCACGCCCCCTCTCTGGAAGGACTTGGGTGTGTTGGGCTTTCTCGCTCCATGTCCTATTGTTTACGGTGAGAAGGCAGACTCAGAGGGCAGAACAAACACCTAGCTGTGGGAGTGTCACCCACCTGGGGGAGGGGTTACTGCCCTTTGTGATGTCATGAAGGGAAAATCTCCAAACGGCCTGTTTGAGCACATATTTTCTGAAAAGTGGAGCAGGCAAAAGACTGAGAACTGACTATTCTCCTAATGATTAAGTCTTAACCTAAAGGGCAAGGGTTAAATCCACCTCTCTGATTGGCTGTCCCTCTTTGAGCTTCATGTAATTAATCACATGATCACTGGACAGGTGCTCTTAAAGGTCTCGCCCACCTTGTTTTACATCGGAGGAGGTTGCTTGATGAATGATTCTTAAATCAGTGGATATTCAAATGTAACTCTGAGCCTGCATTCAGAGTAATAAGCTGCACGGAGGAACAAATTAGCGAAGAAAAGAACAATCTAACCAGCTAATGAACAACTTGACTGATTTTCTGACTCACTGACCGACCAACCAGGCAGCAAACAGGCCGCGAGCGCAGCCGCGAGCGAAGCGGAGAGACTAATGAAGGAAAGTGGAGGGACATTTAGGCAAAGTGAGAAAAATTTTCTCTGAGAGCTTCCAGTTACTTTCTTTTCTGTATTAGCGTGGCACACACAAACACACCTGAACACACACTCGTGCAGACGGCGCCGTTGATTGTGTATCGCCTGTTTGTTTATTAGCTCTCTGATTGAGCCGCTCTGCCTTCCGCAGATTGGATGACCTTTCCAGATCCTTCCGCCGAGTCCGCTAAGTAGATCGGACGGCGAACGCGACGCAACGACACTTTATTCAGATTGTTACGGAGCGAGGGAAAAGCAGGCGGTCACATGTGTGTTTTTGTGTGTGTGTGTGTTGTGTCGCTGTTTGTACACACTCACTCTGCCTTCATTGGTTCAATTGAAGCCTCATCTCCATATAGTTTGTATGCAATTACATCTGAGCGGCGCGCTGAGTGCCTCTATATGATTGTGTCTGGATACTGAGTGCGACTAGCTGCAGCGTGTGTGTGTGTGTGTGTGTGTGTGTGTGTGTGTGTGTGTGTGTGTGTGTGTGTGTGTGTGTGTGTGTGTGTGTGTGTGTGTGTGTGTGTGTGTGTGTGTGTGTGTGTGTGTGTGTGTGTGTGTGTGTGTGTGTGTGTGAAGGATAATTTGTGAGAAACAGCAGCAATTCGTGTTGATGTGTGAGTTTATTTAGTGTGTGCGGAGCAATTCACAGTCGATTTTTGTGTCTGTAGTTCTTTGGAAACATTTGAGCCCGCCTGGTGTGTATGTGTGTGTGTGTGTGTGTGTGTGTGTGTGTGTATGAGGGGTAATTTGTGCCAGAGAAAAGCAATTCAAGCTAAATGTGTGTATGTGAGGCCTCATAGGTAATTTGTGTGAGCGAGATCTGTTGAAGTGTGTTTGTGTCTGTAAAATGACATGCATATACATGTTCATACAGATCTATAAGTGAGTGTGTGTAGGTTTGTGTGTGTGTATCAGGAGAGATGAGAGCGCAGGATAAGCGTGGAGTGCGTTTCTAGTGGCTCGTTGTCCGCTCACGGGGCTTTAAAGGGCACGTCCGTCAAAGTATAGAACAGCCGAATCTCATTCATCTGCAATAAACAGCTAATCACACTCACAGGGACATGATCCCATTCTCTCTCATACACACACACACACACACACACACACACACACACACACACACACACACACACACACACACACACACACACACACACACACACACACACACACACACAACACCTCCATTCACTCCAAGAGGGCATAAAGTGCCTGAAAATTGCATATATTTCTACATTTTATCGACAGCTGCAAACTGCTATTGTTAGCATTGTCTTCCCCCAAAGAAGGAAACATTTTGAATCAGTTGGTTGAGAAGCTCGAGCAACGTGTACTCGCACTTTAAGTCTTTGATGTGGTGATTGAACTCAGAGCTATTCAGCGACATCAGCGTGGCTTTGATAAATGAAGTAATGACATGTCAGTTCAGTCTGGTCGTAAGGATCTGTCCTGTCCTTTCTTTCGAGATTATTCTTATGAGCAGTGTGTCATGTGACTGACCTCCTGTGTGCCCTGGTCTTTGTCTTCCAGGCTGAGCTGATGTCCAGTCAGTGTGAAACCCAGCGCGCTGCCCTGGAGCAGATGGCCATCAAACTGAGCAACTTGCAGTACCCCTCACCGGCCAGCAGGAGGAACTACAGCCAGCTGGCCAGGAACAACAGGTAAACACACAATAGCAGAAAACAGGATGTGCAAACTTTCAGATCTATGAGGGTGCTATAAGATATGAAGAGGAAGTGGAAACTGCATTTCAGGAAAAGCATCCATTCGTGTTTGTCTGGCTGGTTGCATACGATGGAAAGGTTTTGCAGGTAAAACTGATAACAGCAATCTTCATCTTTTAAATTTGGTGCTCAGAAAATCTATCCATCATCTGACAAGTATTCATCTGAACATGATTGTGTTTGAAAAACTGTCAAAGGTTGGGAAATGCTCCTAGGGTCATGAAACAGGCGGTGATGTCTGCAACCTTGAATGAAACCACGCCTTTTCAAAAATATTTCCACTCCATGCCATGTTAACACGAAAACGATCAACTAAAAACAGGATCGTTTTTTTCTTTTCCTTTTTTTTTTTTTAAAGGTGTATTTTGAGCTTTATGCCTTTATTTTAGAGATAGGACAGTGGATAGAGTCGGAAATCAGGGAGAGAGAGAGCGAGAGTTCAACGACATGCGGGAAAGGAGCCACAGGTCAGATCCAGACCCGACCGCCTGCCGGAGGACCACAGCCTCCACACATGGGGCGCTTGCACCATCTACTAGAATACAATTTAGAGAATGAGAAACAAATCCCTGCATGGCAAATCCTGCAAGTTGCACCAGAAACAGAGATACTGTAAGAATGCTCTCCTTTAAAGCCCTCAGGCTCCATTAACAAAAACAGTCATTTAACCTCATGATAACAGAGGAGATCCTTCTGCTCTGCTGCCTCTGTAAGTTACTTTGTTTTTATAGTTTGTTACTCTGGATCTGATCAAATATTTGTGCAACAGACGATAACAGAAACAAACGAGCTGATTGAGTCAGCGTCAGATCATCTCCTCCTTTGTTCAGCTATATTTTTTTGTCAATGAAATTTGGCGACCTAGGGATGTATTTTCCTCGATGGAGTACTATGCAGCCTTTACAGCCTGTTTCACTGCTGCAGGATAAAACAATCTACTGGAGCATTTAAATAAATATATACTTATGAGTTATTAACGACCTGAAAATGTGTAAAAATAACAGAGTTTAATCAGTTTCATAGAACAGACTAAAACCACCAGATGAAAGCTGAGACGCACCGACAGAAGACAACGAGACCAACAACACATCGACATGTGACACACACAGCAGATAGTAACCCACACACACACACACACACACACACACACACACACACACACACACACACACATGCACTCACACACAGCAGAGCATAACCACACACACACACACAGTTTGAGCGTTAACAGCAGTAATCTGGTGTGTCCAGGCTCGGCTGGGCGAGCAGCGTCTTTGGTCACGCTGCCTGTCGGCGCTTCATCCCGGGCTTTGAGGAGCCTCCCTCTGTGGTTATCACTCACACGCAGGGCACACTTACACACACACACTCACACAGACACACAATAAAAACATACTCAGAGTTGAGTGTATGCAGATGAAAAATGGAGTCGGTGGTGTGTTTTGTTCTGCAGACTCTGTTACTGTCGTCGAGTGTCGTTACATGAAGGATGTTGTGTCCTCTGTGTGGTTTAAATACAATAAATATAAGAGGTTCAGATGCATAGTGGAAAATTAAACACACACACACACACACACACACACGTAAATGAAACACTCATTTATTTGGATTGTGTTTTTCCTCCTCTGAGGCTGCAGTGTAATTTTTCAGTAATTTACATTGGATATGTTGGACACTAATTGGTTATTCATATATCAACTGCTGCATTCAGATTTACGTGTGTGTGTGTTTGTGTGTGTTTGTGCTTTCACAGTGCATGTGTGTGTGTGGTGTGCTGAGTGCTCAGTGTGTGTGTGTGTGTGTGTGTGTGTGTGTGTGTGTGTTCACTGTGTGTGTGTGTGTGTGTGTGTGTGTGCGCTCTGTGTGTGTTCAGTGTGTGTATATTTGTGTGTGTGTGTGCACTCTGTGTGTGTGTGTGTGTATGTGTGTGCACTCTGTGTGGGTTGTGTGTGTGTGTGTATATGTGTGTGTGTGTGCACTCTGTGTGGGTTGTGTGTGTGTGTATGTGTGTGTGTGTGTGCGCTCTGTGTGTGTTCTGTGTGTGTGCTCAGTGTGTGTGTTCAGTGCAGCGGTGTGTGGGATGAGTTTTGTGTTAATTGGATGTTGCATGTTTTTCCTTTAGCTGCTGTGGTTCGGGCTCAGTTGAGATTTGTGGTTTTGGTTCAGTTGTGAAGAAAATGAAGGTCAGACTGAATTATTTACCGATCTCACTCGAAATATCTCTATTCTAAATAAACGCTGAGACAAATAAAACAGCGAGAGGTAATAAAGTCTGCGCTCCTCATGTTTCTTTTTACTGGTTGTGGTCTTTTAGATATTTGGTGTTTACATGATTTATTATTGCATGAGATGAACTGCATGAATGGATGAAGTGATGATTTTCTCAGCTGGTGCTCTGTGACACTGGAGATATTGTTAACTTCTTCAGGATGTCAAGTGAACGAACGAGTGAATAGATCCGTGCGTGATCGTCAGCAGGGGGCGCTGTGCTGCTGTTCAGACGTATAGCTTTCACGTCTCTGTCGGATGAATTAGAAAAAAAAGACGAGTGTGGGAGAATCACCTCATAAATCCGACCGAGTGTCTGACTGAAAGGTGACGCCTGCCAATACGACTCATTCAACCTTTCACTCCATCATCTCATCCCCCCTGTTCTCTTTCTTTCCCCTTCCTGCTTTGCTTTATCTCTCCTTCCTCCTTTCAACTTTTCCTTTTTCCTACTTCCTCCTCTCTCTGTCTTCCTCTCTCTTCTATCGTTCTGTCTCTGATTCACATATCTCAGAGTTTGCTTCTTCTTCCCTCTCATCCTCTCTCCTTTCCTCTCCCCTCATTCACTCTCCTCTTTCACAGATCTCCCCCTTTCTTTTTTCTTTTTCTTCCTCTTCGCTCATTCTCTCCCCTCGTCTTTTTCTTCTCTCACCTTTCCTATATCCTCTTTTCTTTCGTCAATCTCCTTCCCTCTTCCCTCCTTTCCTTTCCTTCTGCCTTCCTCTCCCCTCCTTTTCTCCCCTCTTCTTTTTTCTTCCTATGCCTCTTACTTTCTTTCATCTTGTTTTTCACTCCCCCTCAATCTCTTACTTTGTAATTTTTCTGTCTCCTCCCATCCTACTCTCGCCGTACCCTTTTTTCCTCTCCCTCCTTCTCTTCCTCCCTTTCCCTTTTTTCTTTCTCTCCTCTCATCCTCTCCCTCTGTCTCTTAACCTCGTCTTTTTCCTTCATCCATTTTCTTCTCTTTCCTTTCCTCCTTCTTCCTCTCCTTCTCTCTTCTCCTCTCCTCTCCTCCTACCTCTCCTCCTTCTTCCTGTACTGTGGATGATGAATTAAAACAGCTGCTATCGCCGTCACAGCAGCAGCGAGGACGAGAGAGAAAAGCAAGGAGAGGAAGAAAGTGGAGGATGATGGTGAATCCATCCATTCAGCCTGGATGAAAAGACACGGTGTGTGTGTGTGTGTGTGTGTGTGTGTTTTTATAGCTATACCGAGACAACGAGTCCTGAACCTGTTTTTTAAAAAAAATATGAAATGTACTGGCTTTGAAACAGGTGAATGCAGAATAATAATGTAAATAAAATACGTACTATAACCATGTTATTATAGAAAAAAAGTAAAGGTTACGCCTGCAGCAAAGCTGGATGACTCTCTTGACTTTGTGGCGTCCAAATGCAGAGGAAGTGAAGTTCTATTGGTTTGGTTTTTGACCTGCAAATTTGTGCTGTACTAGCATGATTTTGAAAGTAGCATTCCCTCAGTGCCCCGTCTACACCCCCCTCCCCTCAATGCTCCCTCTAAAGCCACGCCCCTCACTAATATGCACAAGCGCCATTGGTCCAGAAGCGGACCTCAGCTCACGCTTTGAGTGAGGGCTAGAGCACGCAAGGGGTATAGAGAGAGAAGTGAGACAGGGAGGCGTGTGATTGGTTCATCAGATTGGTACCTCGTGGCAGACATTGGTTGAAGTTTTTACAGACTTACAACTGATACAGATGACAGATTTTCTTTGTTCCTTTTTCAGAGAACCTGAGTTATTAATTTCTGTCAGGACATAAAGACAATTTAAACCAGAATCTTAAAAAGTGCATCTGGAGAAAATCACCAACCCTGACTTTAAGGTTGGGAAGGAGCCTGATGAGGTGGGTTACGTCTGTTGAAAAAGTACTGGGCATGCTCAGAGACCACATCCAGCTGCAGGTGTGATTAAAGCTGCTGATGTTTGTGTCACACCTTAAAAACAAAACGAAACAAGACCAGAACAGATCACAACTTCTAAAATATCTGAATAAGAAGAGGAGATTTGCACAAACCGCATTGACACCCGGTGTGTTTTATTCGCTCCGGTGTCGTCTGAAGGTATGACGAGGTAGGAATAAATAATGGATTCTTTTAATACCAATTTCCTCGAGTGACTAAATGTCAGAACGGCTCTCCGAAACACTCCCACGTGCTCCGTCAGCGCCGCGTGACGGGAAGCGATCCTGACACTTCAAACGCCGTCTAACTGTCCCGGTGTTGAACGCAGCCCTGCAGTGCCGCCACGTCGCTCCTTCCTCTATGATTTGTCTGTTTTCTCGTCCCCCTCGTCCCCCTCGTCTCCCCCCCACCTCGAGAGAGAGATCCTGTTTTACAAAGTGTTTAGTTAACATTAGTGTGAGAACAAGACGGAGACGAGGGAGAGAGAGGAAAACGACAAACGACAAGAGAAAACAATCTGTGCGAGTGTTGTATCTTCTTCATCTGTCTGAGGCGGTAAAGGGCCGCTCTGCTCCACGCATAATGAGGAACGCCGCCTCGGGGGGAAAGGAAGCAGCGCTTGCTTCCTGTGCTTTCTTCTTCTTCTCTGTCGAGTTTTTAGTACAGTGAGAGGAGGGCGAGGTGATGTGGGGGAGAAAGAGGAGGGAAAGATGGAGCGGAGGAAGGAAGAGCAGGGGGAAAGTTGGAGCTCGATTCCGACGCAGCTGAGGAGATGAAGAGGGAGGGATGGAAAGGACGATTGAGCAGCGAGGGAGGCATTCTGAAAACATAAAGTTAGTAGAGAGGTGTACAAGACGAGAAAAATGTCCGTGTGGAAAGTAAGACGACATTAAAGAATGATTTAGTTAGAACAGAAAGGACACATTTGCAAGGCCTGGAGCCCTAAGCAGCTGCATGCCTTGCCTGTTGCTTGCACCTCTGGCAGTTGCTGGGGATCGAACCCCTGACCTCTCTGTTGAGAGATAACCGACTCTACCACTGAGCCACAGCAGCCATGTCTTTTATGTATGCTTCTATATGCGCCACCAGAAATTGTTCTTTGGTCCCGATACTTAGAGGTGTAATGCTTTTGACAACTTTAATAATGAGAGTAAGTTTTAAAGAAACGTTTAAGCTCGTCGACACAAAGACAGATTTGAAGTTTAGAGAGCTGGAACAATCCGTACAAACTGAGGATGTCAACAAAAATCCCCCGTCGAGTGAATTTTGCAGGTTCAGGATGAATCTTAATCCAACATGGAGAGATTCGATCATCGTCTTTTTTAGTTCCTCTAATTTTCATTCATAATTTACGCTTTCTATTTTTATTGCAAGTCAGTTGGTACGTGTATGCCTGTGTGTTTGTATGTGTGTCTGTGTTTACTTTTCAGTGTGTACTGTGTGTTGCATTCTGGGTAACTGTGTTTGTGATTCTCAGTGGGCGTGTGTTTTGCTTGTTTCATGAATTGGAGTCGTTGTTTTTTTTTGTGTTTGTGTGTGTGTTTTCAAGAGTGTGTCTTCATGGGCAGCACTTGCCTTCACTTGCGCATGTGTGTTTGTGTGTATATATGTGTGTGTGTGTGTGTGTTGTCGTGGAAACGCCGTGGGCCTGACAGAGCTGTCAAACTGTCGGCTGCGGCGACCGGAGAATTCCAAACAATTTCACCGCTAATGTTGAGAAACATGTTGGCGATCCCCGTCGAGACCTAAAACCAGGGAATATATAAATAATAAACACATACACACACACACACACACACACACACACACACACACACACACACACACACACACACACACACACGCGCGCGCACACACCTTAACAAAACGGCTGACAGTAATGTGTGTGTTTGAAGAATCGGCCCCTGTTCCAGCAGCATACATATTTGATGTGATCCGGTGTCTAGGAGGAGGAGGAGGAGGAGGAGGAGGTGAGGGGACAGGACAGGGGAAGAGGAAGAGGGAGAGAGACAGGGAGGAGAAAGGAAGAAAGGGGTGGATGGAGGAGGGAGGATGGTAAGGGGACAAAAATGTGGGAAAGTAAGAGGAGGTGAAGAGAGAGAGTGAGGGAGGGAGAAGTAGAGGGAGAAATGGAAATGTCCTCACAAGAGGAGCAAAGTACGGGATGTTAAAAACTTCCTTTACTTTTCAGTTCAAACAGCAGCTTCATCGTCATCATGTTCTGCCTGCTGTCTCTCTCTGTATGCGCCAGCTTTTTATATCGACGTCTCTCGCTCTCTTTGTGTTTGATCAACATACAAGACGCACACATCCCCAATTCCTGCAGGACAAAACGATATTACAATCAAAAATAACACAAAGAGAACGTGTAGATCAACTCAATCATCTCCTCTTTTCCTCTCTCCAGTCTGCAGGAGTTTGAGGCCGAGTACCAGGAGCTCTGGGATTGGCTGATGGACATGGACGCCATGGTAATGGACAGTCACCAGCTGATGATGTCAGAGGAGCAGAGGCATCACCTCTTCAAGGTAAGACCCAATCGATGCATGTCTGTCTGCAACTCAGGGACCCCCCCCCACACACACACACACACACATCAAAACCAGGTTACCATGGGAACCTCTTCCTCTTGTTAGATACAGTAGAGTCTTTCTGTTGCTTTTTTGTTCCCCAGTGACTTCACACTTTACAGCTGACTCTTCTTCTGTGAATCAAACATGTCTGATGGACAGTAGCTCAAACCGATTATTCACAATCCAAACTGGACTTTTCTCGTCTTGAGTCGTATCTTCAGTTCTGCGAGGCGTGCTCCGATACGCAGGGATAACATGTCATGCCAGAAATGCCTCCACATGACTTTTTAAGAATATTTTCCACCAAATGTTTGATTAATACTCAACAAATTCTGAACTGAGGATAAGAACAACCCTGTCATGGTCACCCTTTGGCCTCTCATACTGTCATACTGTACGCCATGGATTTGGGGAAACCAGGGTCAGAGGTGCTGCTTATCAACAGGCGAGGCAGGCAACTGCTTGGAGCCCCAGACCAGTATGGGGGCCCCTGAGGGCTCACTGACTTCAAACCACAGCAGCGGCTTTTTGCAGTGACAGTAGGTAACCTCCCTAAGTGGGCCCCATTTAAAAGAACTCGTTCTCGATGCCTTGCTAATCGTTGCATGCGTTATTGCTGTAAAAAAACAGAGTTTGTCAAAGAATGGCGACTCAGAAAAATGAAGAGGAATTATCCGTCTAAAGGAGAGAAAACAGAAAGAGGAAGATGAGTAAGCGTCTGGACAATGGCAGACATCATAGTGATGGATGCGGGTTGTAGGGCCCCCCACCTTTCCCAATATCTCAACTATCTTACTGTAGCAGGACTGCTTTTAAGATTTAAAGTTTAAACTACATTTCCCATCAGCCACCTGTGCCTCCGTCATGGTGGCACATACGCAATGACTAAATATGTACATTTCATTCCACATTTCATTCATCCTTCAATTTGTCTGTCTCCCTATCCCTCCCTGCACTCCTCCCTCTGCCACACACACACACACACACACACACACACACACACACACAGACACACACAGACACACACACTCACACTCACAGACACCACTCATACCCCGTCTTCATCCTCACCAAGGAGAATGGGATTACAAGGCCTAGCTTCCCTCATAACCATATCATAGAGGTGTGTGTGTGTGTGTGTGTGTGTGTGTGTGTGTGTGTGTGTGTGTGTGTGTGTGTGTGTGTGTGTGTGTGTGTGTGTGTGTGTGTGTGTGTGTGTGTGTGTGTGTGTGTGTGTGTGTGTGTGTGTGTGTGTGTGTGTGTGTGTGTGTGTAATGACTTCATGCAGCAAAATGAGATAGAGTGATCTGAGTCATCGTCTCTTGTCCTTCACATACATGTACACACACACACACACACACACACACAAAATTACACGCAGGCACAGACAGAAAAATCGACGACAAGCTGAAAAAAACAAGATATTTGTTGAAGCAGAGCTCGAACACTTCAGAAGTATTTCATATTTTTATGATAACAAATGAAGCGATGAGCCGGATTGGAGCTCATACTGTGTGTTTATGCAAATGAACTCATTTAACACGTGTGTGTGTGTTTATTTCCTCATGCACACTTTTTGTCTTCTTTGGAAAGAAGCTGTTGGTGACGAGCGTACGGTGTGTGTACACACCATGAAACACACACAGCCACCCGTTAAAACACATATATATGCACACACGGTAACGACCGTCACGCAGCTCGCACACACTCGAGCGGCTGACATCTCATTCTCCGCTTACCCAGAAGGCATTGCTGTGAACCAAGACACATGCGTAACTTTGTGTTGTTTTCTGTTCTTTCTGCTTCTGAGTCTAAACTTTTTCTTTTTCTGTGTGTGTGTGTGTGTGTGTGTGTGTGTGTGTGTGTGTGTGTGTGTGTGTGTGTGCAGACATGATTTATTTAGCGGCCGATGAGACTCACCTGGCCTGCAAATTATTGATAAGTGTAAAGATGAACCTAATTTCTCCATAGGAGTCACACTTAAATATTCATCTCTGTATGAATATTCATGGTGGCGATGATGCATGCATGAATTTTAGATGACTCTGGAATCGCTGGGCATTCTTCTTCTTCTCTCTCTCTCTCCCTCTCTCTCTCTTTTTTGATGTGTCAACTTTCCTGTTAAAATATTGATGTGGAGCTCGACAGCGTCTCCTCGCCCGGTCCAAGGTCGCTTTCTTATACTGTTTCTCCTCTCCACCGAGACTTCCACAGACAGGGCGGCTGTATACTGTAAGCCGCTCAAACGGGGCTATTTTTATCTTATATATCACTTTCTACTCGCCGGGTCTGTTTCCTTGTTTCACTCCCGGCTGAAAGATTCTCATGCCCTTGACTTTAAGGGTTATTCTGGTATAAGGAGTAAGTCTCCTGAGGCGAGGCGCGACATAAAAAAGAGCGATGTGGAAGTGTCAGAAGAAGCAACAGAGTCCTCTATACGACGCTATAATGAGAATATTTGTCTTTCTATCAATGCTACATGTAGTTGAACAGAATCTCAATCTAAACTAAAGAGTGGAGAAGAACATACTGGAGAACAGGAAACATGCAGCAGCAGGTTCATTAGAGCACAGAGATGGTAGAGGTGGCGTGCAGACAGTCTATGGTCGTGCAGCGATCACAGGGAATAAACGTCACCACCCCCTCCCACTCGCTCCAGGTGAATTCTCCTGATTATATCCTGCTGTGTTCTCACATCAGCTCACTCTGACTTTCTGCAGAATAAATACGAGGAGGCTGGAGGAGAAACTCCGGGTGAAGAGAGAAACATTCAGCTGTTTGTGTTCACACATGACGCTCCTTCTCCTGGAAATATCAGGAGCTTTGGTGCAGGTGTGGAATCATTATTTCTCAATGGAGTGTGGCGGCTGTAAAGAGAGCCACCGTCACTGTTTGTGGTTCAAAGAAAATGATCTTTTGAAATAAAAATCTGAGCCTGTCAGTGACATAAAGCAAGAACTTTTCTTGAATAAACATTGCAGCCATCAGAGCCTGTTTTACACCTGCAGGCTGAGGCAGTCTACTGAAACTTCCCAAACTTTCTGTGCCTTTAAGTCAATCAGACCTTAAAGTATGTTGAAGCAGGGCTCTGTTTTTATGAACTACCATGACCTCTCGAGGTAAAGATGCTGCAGAACACGGTGAAGAAACTCTTTTAGTAATTTTGAATGTCCCGCAATGTTGTTTTTTCAAAGTCCCAAAATAAATGAGCTAATTTTAAGTCACTTTGTATTTATCCATCGTTCAACTTTTTTCAAGGAATCTGTCTTTATTTAACTCGTATTATCCAGCAAACAGATGCATGCTGGGAGATTTCGTGTGTATGTGTGTATGTGTGTGTGTGTGTGTGTGTGTGTGTGTGCTGCCTAAAAGCTCTAAACCTCTTGTTGTGTTTTTCTGCATTTTCTTTTTCTTCCTCCATGTGACCGTTAAAGAACCTCGCTGTGCTCCACTAAAATGCTGGGGGGACTCGACCCCGTCACCATAGCAACGCCAGGGCCAGACCAACAAAAAGTTGTTCTTTTTTTCCGAGGTGTGTGTTTGTCTGTGTGTGGCGTGAAAGAACGGGGGGGGTTATGTGTGTGTGTGTGTGTGTGTGTGTGTGTGTGTGTGTGTGTGTGTGTGTGTGTGTGTGTGTGTGTGTGTGTGTGTGTGTGTGTGTGTGTGTGTGTGTGTGTGTGTGTGTGTGTGTGTGTGTGTGTGTGGATGTTTGTGTGTGTGTGTGGATGTTTGTGTGTGTGTGTCCTCCGGAAAAGCAAATCTGGGCTGACGGTTGTTTCTGCAGGCTTGGCAGGCCGAGGCTCTACTGTTTATTGTGATCTTAGATGGAGGCACTTATCAACCTTAAAGAGGAGGAAGGAGGATGATGAGGTTTGATACAGATACTAGTGTGTGTGTGTGTGTGTGTGTGTGTGTGTGTGTGTGTGTGTGTGTGTGTGTGTGTGTGTGTGTGTGTGTGTGTGTGTGTGTGTGTGTGTGTGTGTGTGTGTGTGTGTGTGTGTGTGTGTGTGTGTGTGTGTGTGTGTGTGTGTGTGTGTGTGTGTGTGTGTGTGTGTGTCTCATTTGTGTTTCCAGTTCTTTCTTCTCAGTGTGATTCATGTTGTTTAAAGTCTGCCACTCTGTTCATCCTCTCTCCCCTCAGTGTGTGTTTCATCTGTGTTTTCCCTGATTGTTGGTGTGTCCAGATGGTGTGTGCATGCGTGTGTGTTTGTGTGTGCGTGCCTTGTCTTGTGTTGGCGCGTGTGTATGGTTTATCGAGGTTTCCACGGGAGACGAAACAAGCGTCGGACCTTGTAGGTGCTGTCAACCAATCACACATCAAGGCCCCTGTAGTTCAGCCAATTGATGATCAAGGTTCTGGCCCTGAGTCCCACAGGAGGCGGAGCCAACACTCATTTCCCAGAAGCCTCTGTGCCTGGTGTGTGTGTGTGTGTGTGTGTGTGTGTGTGTGTGTGTGTGTGTGTGTGTGTGTGTGTGTGTGTGTGTGTGTGTGTGTGTGTGTGTGTGTGTGTGTGTGTGTGTGTGTGTGTGTGTGTGTGTGTGTGTGTGTGTGTGTGTGTGTGTTATTTGACTGACCATGGTAATATTTCGATTTAGCCAGAGAGAAATGAACAAACACACAGAGAGAAACATAAAAGCACACACACACACACACACACACACACACACACACACACACACACATATGAAGTCTCTTATCGTATAGAAACACATTTATTATCTGCAATAAATCTTAATTATGAACAAAAAACAACTGAGGTAAAAAAAAAAAAGTCAAAAACAAGAAATCACAGAGACGGTAAGGAGTCAGACTCTGGTCAGAATCAGCTGATTGTTCGCTTTATATTTATCAAAATATTCAGCTAATGGAGCTCAAGAAACATTAATAAATATTGTTTTTTAATCTGACATCAAACACACACTGTAAACATTTCCTCTGGACGTCTGTTTTTAAG